TCTGAGCTTCTTCTTTGGGCAGACTTAACCTCATGACTACAAATCTAGGCATAACATCCTGAAGCAGTAATGGTTAGGAGGAGAAACATACCTTCTCTTCCTTGAGCCTCTTTTTTAAATAAAGGACAATTTTTCTAGAAGGTTCTAGAAATTTCCAGTCACAGCTCTTTGACCAGAATTGTGTTACATGACAATGCTTGAGCCAGTCACTGCTAAAGGAATTGAGATTATCATGATTAGCTTAACTCAATGGAAATCTCATCTAGAGGCATGGCGGTGGGGGGTGGGTTGTGCAGTGTATACTGGAACAAAATGAGAGAGTATTATTTCAGCAGAGAGAGAGAAAGAATAAAATCAATATTGGGGTAGAAACTAATAGTGTCAGCTACACCTTTGTTTTAAACAAAATTGTTTTCTACCACATTTCGAAGTCACACGTTTTAAGTTGCCAACATAAGGTCGCATGGCTGATTAAAAAGAGAAGTAGGATTCAAATCCAGGTCTTTCAGACTTCAAAGCCCACCCATGTACTTGTTCTGCACGGCTGGACCTGGAGTCACGCTGTGTTTCCCAGAAAAGCCAGGCTCCCTCCCTCATGGTGAGCGCTTCAGGAGTTGAGGCAATTGCCGTGCTCTCCCAAGCCCGACCTTCAGCTGGGCATTTAATCTGTTTATTAAGTTATGACTAATGGCGCCGCGAGACACCGAAGGCTGCACATTCAGACCTAGTTTTAGATTGTTAGAGGAGGTTCAGGGGAAAACATCATATTCATATTCTATGCCGAGAAAATTCAATTGTAGCTCTTTCTTTTTCAGAGTGCAGGGATGGCGAGGGGCTTCTGCTGCATCCTGCTTTGGTTTAATAGAAATGAAACCTCCAAAGCACGTGGGCTGATTTGGGAACGTGGCCACTAATGCAGCCTTGCGGGGGCGGGGGCGGGGTGGGGGGTGTGGGCCAAGCCTGAGCCGGGCAGTTTGCATATTCACTTTTACAAACAGTTGGCTCGAAGTCAGCAGTTAATGGGATGGGAATGATGTTCCTGTACCAAATCATTTCCTGAAAAAAAAAAAAACATTTCCAATTGCAAACATATCTCAGCCTTTCTTCTCGGGTTTGTTTTGTCTCTGTGAGTGAATTAAAGAGGCAGGGCAGAGGGGAGTGTTTCTGACTGGGGATTTTTCATCTAAAAACATTTTTAACAATGATCTGCATAGAAAAAGAGGTCCTGTTCAGACCCACATTTAGGAGCCCTGGCTGCAAGTATGGTGTTCTAGCCACACGTTAGAGGTATAAATATCTCTACACTCACAGATGGGCTCTTAATGGACAACGGTCTTGGGACAGAGGTAGCTTTTTTCTCTTTACAAAAAGTAAGCTGGAAATGCTGCCCTAGAAATGTGCCCACACATGCACACACGGGATCAGGCCAAAGTATGATTTTCCTCTCCTAAGGACAGGCTGAAAGTCGTCTTTGCATGCTATACACGGCTTTGGTAAATTGTACTTCAACTTATAACCTGTGCAGTGGAAGGGTAGTCTTAACAGGTTCATTCATTTATTCAACAAAATGGTCCTTGAGTGCTTATCATTTTAAGTAATAATTGCAATTAATTACATAGCTCTTAACCAGGTACCAGACACTCTTCTAAATGTTTTACATGTATTAACTCATTTAAACTTCTCAACAACTCTAGGAGATAGGCAATATTATTATCACCCCCATTGTGCAGATAAGGAAACTGAGGTGTAAGATGGATGAGCTTGCCCAAAGTCATGTACTGGTAAGTGGTAGAACCTGGATTTGAGTGTAGGCAGTCTGACTCCTCTTCAGAGATCTAATAGCGAACAAAAGAGAAAAAGTGCCAGTCTTTCCACAGCTTACATTCTGTTGAGGAGGGGATAGATAATAAATGTAGAAATAATAATTATTTCAGATTGTGATGAGTGCTATGGAGAAAATACAACACAAGAGGGAGGCAGGGGGCTATTCAGAGGGTCTTGTAGGTCTTAGGAAGGAATTAGGGTTTTATTCTAGGTATAATGGAATTCCCAGGTGGCAGTAGTAAAGAATGCTCCTACAATGCAGAAGATGCAGATTCAGTCCCTGGGTCAGGAAGATCCCCTGGAGAAGGAAATGGCAACTCACCCCAGTATTCTTGCCTGGGAAATCCCATGGACAGAGGAGCTTGGCGGGCTACAGTCCACAGGGTCGCAAAAGAATCAGACGTGACTGAGCAACTAAGCATGCACATGAGGGGAAGCCACAGGAAGGCGTAAAGCAGGAGAATGTATGATCGTGTTTACATCTTTATAGATCATTCTGACTGTGCCCTAGGAAGTAGACTGGCATGGGGAAAATGCATCAGAAAGCAGTGGGCAGGTTAGAAGGTGGTTCTGGTTATTTAGGTGAAAGATAACAGTGGCCTGAACCAGAATAGTGATGATGGAGCAGGTGAGAAGTGGCTGGAATAGGCTCCTGTCTTGGAGGTGGAACCCAGAAAACTTGCCAATGTATTGGCTGCAAACAGTGAGGAAAAGAAGAAGGGAAGGATGATTCGTCAGATTTTGGCTTGAACTCTTGTGCAAATGGTAGTGCCATTTACTGAGGAGGATAAGAAGGAAGGTGGACAAGTCTTGATGTAGTGTTGTTACAGTGGAGGTAAGGGTGCTGAAGATCATGTGTTCTGTTTTGAATGTATACATTTGAGATCTCCATTAGTAGACAAAAGAGGAGATACTGAGTGAGTCTGGAGCTCAGGGTTAGGCCTAGGCTAGAGATTTTGTTTGTTTTTATTTGTTTCTGGTTCTTGTTTTAGTAATGAGTTGACTGTTGTTTTCACAGCCCAATGAGGCTGGGCAAATAAAACCACTCAAAAGAATAAATTAGGACAGAGCTTGGTTGTTTTTGTACATGAAGAATATCTAGGAAAAGGCTTCATTTTTATCCTATCCCTGATTTTGTTGCCTTGAATTCAGTTTTAGATAATAAAATCTTATTAACTTTAAAAATATATAATACAGCATACATCAGGCTGGAGATTTAAATTTGGATATCATCAGCATTTGGATCTATGGGATCAGCCAGGATAGACCATCCAACTAAATCTTCCGTGATAATGGAAATCTACATCTGCACTGTCCAGTAGGGTGCCACCTGCCCCATGGGGGCCACTGAGCACTTGAAATGTGACAGGTGGAACTAAAAAGCTGAGTTATTAATTCATTTAAACTTCAATAGCTGCATGTGGTTAATGGCTACTGTATCGGACAGCACAGATCTGGTGGCAGGGTGGGGTGGGATGGAATATACAGGTGGAGAAGGTTCTGGGCAAGAGCTAGTCTCTTCACTGTTCACTTAACCCAGTCTCACACCCACATTGAAATATAACTTTATTTCCACTTCCCATTGCCTGGGTAGTGATGCTTGTTAAGTGGTAGAAATCTTGCTTCTTTGTGAGAAACAGCCTGGAAAAAAAAGCAAACTGCTAGTCCTAGGAGGAGTGCTAGGAGACATTATAAAGTCTCAAGAAGCAATTGTGCTTTGCTGGAAAGCAAACACAAGCCCCTATTTATAGAATCATTTAAACCTTGAAAGTGTCGCTTATATTTTTCACTTATGTTTGGTGGGGGGAATTATATAGACTGGTGGGTGTCTGTGGATTTGGAGATTCAAGATGGTGCCTGGCTGATATCCCATTTGAATGTCATGAGCCCACAGCAACAGGACTGAATACCAGCTTCATAATGCGAGTTGTGTCTCTCTAGGGCAGAGTGGGTTTCACTCCCTTTGTTAGGCAATCTCACTCCCCATCCAACTGCAACCATCAGTGACGTCTGCTAATATGAAAGAACTCTTTGTAAGCAGCTGCCTGTGCTTAAGAGTACTTGCAAGTGTATGCTGGCAATGGGTGAGGCCAGAGTCAATACAAAAAAATAAAATGGAAAGATGGGACATTGCTTTTACTAAGGTTGATTGCAGCTGCCATTATCACCTCTTTAAGAACCGTTTGGTGACCAGCTCCTTCAGAGGAAATGGTTGTTCTGTGCTTAATTTGTGCAAAGGAACTGCCCAAACTGGAATTGAGTAGAACTGAGGGATTTGAGTCACTGCTTTTAGGAGAGGTAATAATCCAAGGTCAGTGCTCAGCAAAGGGCCATCACACAACTGGTTTTGTGGTAGGAATTTGTTTTTTTTTTTTTTTTTACTAAGGCTTGGGGGTGGGCTGGAAGTCTCTAGCTGTCACTGACCTCTTGTTATTTTTCTTGAGAATAGTGGAATTGTAGACTTCTAAGATTTGGGAAAGTACAAAAGAACTTGATGGTCACCTATCCAGCTTTTGATGTTCAGCTGAGGGAACAGGCCTGGAGAAGTGAGGTGCCTGACCCTAGGGCCCATGACTCCATATGGTTGAAGGGATAAATCCAGAGCCCAGGGAGCGGCCAGAATGAGGCATCCTCAAGCAGTGCTGGATGGGAGGAGGGAGGTAGGAAGGAGGGAAGGAGGGAAGGAGGGAGGAAAATGTCCGAAAAAATACACAGGAGCCAATTCGGGAGAGAAGTCAGGGGTGGGTTGACCTGAGAATGGAAAAGGCCTGTGGCTCAAATGAAGCCTTAGCGTGGGGACCTCGTGTATCCAGTCAGCAGAGACTTATCAAGTGTGCACTCTGCACCAGATGGCAAGCCCCTAAAGGAGGGACAGGAGGGAGGCATGGCAGAGACTTAAGAAAGGCATCAGTGCTGACTTCACTTCCATTTATTCCAAGATCATTTCTGAAAGGAGGCAGATTTCCATGCCCGATTTTTCTAGGAAAGCGAGTGAGGTGACAGCCAGAAGGAGTGAGATGAAGGGGACAGTTTGGTCCTTTTAGCAAGGAGAGGCAGGAATTGGATGCAGGCTGCATCACAGCTGCAGGCTAACCTTGGTGCTTTCATTTCTCAATCTGCATCAATGTGGAACACAGCTATGGGTTGCCACGTAACGCTGTGCTTCCTTCTTACAGTGTCCGAGCTTCAGGAAGAAGGCATGAACGCCATCAATCTGCCCCTCAGCCCCATCCCCTTCGAGCTGGACCCTGAGGACACAATGCTGGGTAACGGGGTCTCTTGTTCTCTCTGGGTTAGCCTGATGCCTTCAGAGCGACCACCTCGCTGACTGCCTTTTCTTTTTAAAGAGGAGAATGAAGTGCGAACGATGGTGGATCCCAACTCACGCAGCGACCCCAAACTTCAGGAACTGATGAAGGTAAGAGGAAATTAGAAGGGGCTTCAGGTGCCTCCTGACTCCACAGGTGTCTCTAGACCAGACACCCTGTGTAGGCTCCACTTGAGCCACTGCAGAAAGAACAGAAATCCACAGCAGTGCCTGGCCACAGGCAGCTTGCAGTCCAGAAGGCAGACATCTACAGGTTAACCGAGGTGGGACATAACAGGTGCCCAAGGAATGGTATTGACCATAGGCACTGGAGAATTTAGTGCAAAAAAATCTCACATTTGCCAGGATCTTATCACTCACAAAGGCAGTGGCCTTGTGCAAGCTTCAGTTTCCTTACCTGAAAAACGAAACTGATGCTACCTGCCTCTCGGGATGCCGTGTGGATTAACTGAGTGACTGATCACCTGGAACGCCTCTGCTGGGTGCCTGATGCACAGAGGCTAAGACACGGATCCCGGAAGACACTGCACAGTGCCACTGAGAGGCAGCCTGGCGCAGGGAGCAGAACATGTGCTGTGTGTAGAGCAAGGTGGACAAGAGTGGCTATTCCTGTCCCTGCCCAGTTAGCTCTGGGACCTTGGGCCGTGTTCACCTCTGTGTTTGGTTTTACCTCCTGAACATAGGGGTGACAGTAACCACCTGGCCACATGTCATAACGGGACAGTGCTTTATTTATTAATGAGATCTGCCCTTACTGGGTGTTTGGCCCTTGCTGTATGTAATTCCTTTCTTTTTTTCCCTGATATTGGTTTTGGTTTTTGGCCACTCGGTGTGGCATGTGGGATCTTAGTTCCCTGACCAGGGATCAAACCCGTGCCCCCTGCAGCTCAAGTGTGGAGTCCTAACTACTGGACCACCAGGGAGACCCTGTAATTCTTTTCTACCACCTAGTGTGGGAGGTGCCTTCAACTTCCACTATAGAGTTGGGGAGTCAGAGGTTCAGAGCAGATAACTAGCTTGCTGTAGATTCATAAATCACAGAGATACACACACAGCGGTTCATGGATGACAGAGGTACACACACATACACACACACACATAACAGTCTATCGATCCCAGAGATGCACAAATTATTTTAGTAGGTAAAGTGAGGGTTTCAACCCCAGTTTGCGTGACTCCAAAGCCCATCCTGTCCTGCCTGCAAAGCCACACAGCCAAGCACTGTGTGAACGTTCTTGCCATTCGGGGAAGGGAAGTTGGGGCCAGGGGTGTTAGCAGAGACACTGGTGCCACCAGCAGAGCCTATACCTGCAGGTTAACAAGGGTGTTGGGCTCACACTCACAGCTGCTGGACAGATACTCAGGCGTGTGGATAATTCTGCTCCTTTCAAACTCTGAAGTTCATTCAAATTTTAACTGTCCAGGATGAGATCACTGGTGTGCAAGGAAACACCCTATGACTCTTCTCTTATTCTCTCTCTCTGGGTAGGTATTAATTGACTGGATTAACGATGTTTTGGTCGGAGAAAGAATCATTGTGAAAGACCTCGCTGAAGATTTATATGATGGCCAAGTCCTACAGAAACTTTTTGGTAAGAGGAGAGTTGAATGTCGAGCAGTGGGTGTCTTTAAATCTAGTTTGGAGCTGTTCTCCGGTCACAATAGTTCACCTGGAATGGAATAGGGATGGGTAGCCTTGGGCTAGCAGACCAGTGAAATGTACTCTTGGAGTGTTTTACATGAACGCATTGCAAAGGGAGGCTTTGGGACCAGACAGGATTGCTCCGCCTAGCAGCTGAGAATCACCAGCAGGGCAGATGACAGGACTCCACTGCGCACTGAAAACATGCCTCACCTTCTCCAGAAAATTGTGCACCTGTGGCCTCTGTAGGTGTGTTTACATGTGCATGGATCTGCGTGGGTGTGTTTGTATACGTTTGTCACCTATAGACCTGTACATATGTGTGTGTGTACATGCATATATGTATACCTCTGTGATCTGTGGCCTTGTGTGTGTGTGTGTTCCTGTGTGTATCTCTCTCCAGTTGGTGCAAGTACGCAGGTGTGTGGACCTCTGTGACACTTGGCTCCCGTGTGTCTCCAGGTGTCTTGCCTCTGGCAGCATATGCATCCCTGCGTCAGTTCACAGCTGTTATGTGAAAGTGTGAGGCTGTTGGGGAAGGAAAGGAGTCTTCCAGGTGATATTAGTGTTGAGAGGACAGATTCATCATGACTGGATTCGGACTCCTCCTCTCTGTCCCCCACTTTCTGTCATCCTAACCGCTGCCCTAAGTTCTAGACTCTCCTCCTTAGCTTCCCACTAGGGCCTCACACTGAGCGCATCCCCTTTCCTAAGGATGTTTCTTTGCTTCTGAGTGAGTAGATCCCCGTCCTCTCTTCCCTGCCCCTCCTTGGCTGTGGGGCAGGGGGTCTCCATGGCCCCATTTCTTGCTCAGAATTCTCTCCCGCATCCCCTCCTCCCTGCCATTTTTACTTGTCTGAATTGTTGAAACAATTTCCGAGCTCACCTCTTTGCCTCCCATCTCACCTCCTCCAACCCATTCCCCTTTGCAGGGGGGCTGCTGGTGGAGGAACCTTTTTTAATTGAAAGGCTCATTTTGTCGGTCCTCGCTCTCCCGTACCTGTGGGACAAAGTCCAGACCTGTTAGCACAACATTCAGAACACTGCATCTGTCTTGGCAGCCTCACCCCCAGTCACTCACACGTGTGGCTCATGCCGTGTAAAATGCTTAGAATCACACCTGACATACAGTGAGTGCCCAGCCAGTCCGTATCTTTTATCATTTCATTGGTAGTTAGGCCATCTTGAACACCACGCCATATTATGACATACACTGGGCATAGTCACACCTCTTTTCTTTTGCCTTTTCTTTTCTTCTGCCTCTGGGGCCCTTCTTCCCCCTTTATCCACTGAGATAAACCATTATCGCTTATTCTTCCTATCTGTAGAGTCAACCAAACGTGCCTCCACTCACGACATAGTCACATCTGGAAGAAACAGTTGTGTGTTCTTCTGTGTTCCCTCAGATATAGATACACACACATGTATGAAGCATTCATGCTTTTATTATATAGATACATACACATGTACATAATATGTATGCCTTTGTTATATAGATATACACACATATATATAATATACATGCTTTTATGTTATAGATACATAAGACATGTATACATAATATATATGCTTTTATTATTGTAAGACATTCCATTTTGTTTGTAGCTGTTTCTGTAAATGTATGGGCTTCCCTGGTAGTTCAGCTGGTAAAGAATCTGCCTACATTGCAGGAGACCCTGGTTCGATTCCTGGGTCAGGAAGATCCCCTGGAGGAGGGACAGGCTACCTACTCGGGTATTCTTGAGCTTCCCTGGTGGCTTAGATGGTAAAGAATCCACCTGCAATGCAGGAGACCTGGGTTCGATCCCTGGAATAGGAAGATACCCTGGAGGAGGGCATGGCAACCCACTCCAGTATTCTTACCTGGAGAATCCCCATGAACAGAGGAACCTGGCAGGCTACAGTCCATGAGGTCATAAAGAGTCAGGCACAACTGAGCGACTAAGCACACATGTATAAATATATGTAGGCTTCTCAAGGGGCAGGAACCATGTCATATTCCTTTTTCCAGTCTTCTCCAATAATAACACATTGCCCATCACTTAATCAATGTATACTAAACAAATGAATGAATAGTATAAAATCTAGTAATGTCTAGGAAGCTAAGCTCATTTGGTACTCAAACATCAATATTAATGAGTATTAATATTTAAAGGCTCGTAAATGTAACTGAACACGGAGGGGAACGCGCTTTGGCACATGCAGATGTGGAAAAACCCTGAGCCTCACTGATCACCTCTCCTGGCATTTGTAGCTTTTAACTTCACCACCACATTTCTAGTTGGGACTTGACACTGTCTGCAAATGTTCTATGCTGGGCTTTCCAAGCAGGTGTGGGACACGGCTGTGGGGTAATGGAACATGGTCATGAAGCAATCTCGCCTCTGGGAAAGGTTACAAAACTGCCCAGCATCATCCATGCTGCCCCGAGTCAGGCATCAAGTACAGTCAGGTTAGACCACCTCGGATCTCAAACTTCACATTGAAAAGGTGATTAAAAGCAGAAATGATGCCTCTTTTGTCAACCTAAGTGTGAGTTTAAGGCTAGACGTACACATTCAGAAGCTACAGACAGCATGCCCACTGGAGAGAACTCGTTTGCAGTTTAAAACGTGCATCAGGAGCTCCTGGGAGGAATCGGTCTGGAGATGGGAGTTTTGGGTGACCCCTCTGACCTGGAGTTCCCCTCGGGCTATTTTCCTTTCTTCGTGCCCAACCACATCTCTCAAAATAATGGTTGGCACTCCCTCTCCCTGCCTCCCCACCACTGAGCGCTCCCTCCTGAGGTACGGGCTGGGTGCCAACACCTTGCCATCAACTTTTCCTTCCCACGTCACCAGTGTCACCTGAGAGTTCCTCTTCCGTGGTGACACTTGCCCCTACTGAACCTCTCATCTGCCTTCCCCGACCCGACTGTTTCTGGGACCTGATGCTGCCCGGTTTCACTTCCACCTCTGACGCCCGCTTCTCAGCCGTCCTCCTCTGTGCTTCTTTCCATAATGGTTGGCTTTCCTCCAGCTTCCACCCTTGGCCTCCTTCTCTTTTTCTTTTATACCTTCTTCCTGGGTGACTTCATCTGTCCCTACAGTTTCTTTTTTTTTTTTTTTCCATTTATTTTTATTGGTTGGAGGCTAATTACTTTACATCATTGCAGTGGTTTTTGTCATACATTGAAATGAATTAGCCATGGATTTACATGTATTCCCCATCCCGGTCCCCCCTCCCACCTCCCTCTCCACCCGATCCCTCTGGGTCTTCCCAGTGCACCAGGCCCGAGCACTTGTCTCATGCACCCAACCTGGGCTGGTGATCTGTTTCGTCCCTACAGTTTCAACCATCAACTACATGATCATCACCCTCAGATTTCTATCTCTGGAATAGCTCTCTCTTTGAAGCTGTGAGAAGGTTATCTCTTCCCAGTCTGCCCACCTGCCCTGAACTCAGCTTATCTTCCTCCTCCCCAAACCTGTTTTGTCTTCCACCTTGAGGAATGCTATTATGAGCCCAGATTAGAAACCTGGGGGTGATCCTGAATTGCTCCTTCTTCCCTCATATTCTGTTGGTCATGGTTCTGACAACGGTATTCCCATATATACGTGTCAAACCCATCTCATGTCTCAATTAGCTAGAACACGTGCAGCGTTTGTAAAAGTGCCTGGGTCACTGCGCACTAGGTCAGGGGTGGCTGTCACCAATATTTTCCAACCCTACTGCTGCCTCCTTAGCTCAGAGCCTCGTCATTTGTCTTAACTTCTCTGGCTCCAAACTCCTTTTCTTACATTAAGTTGTTTCCTGCCTCAGAAGCATTCTGAAGTTCTCCCAGATCTTCTTTATATTTCACAATTTGTTTCACCACTTAAACCCATAGCCCATGTGTCAGTGTTTCTTTAAAACTTTTTTATTTTGAAATAATTTTTAATAGAGTTGCAGAGACAGCCAAGAGGTTTCCCGTCTCCCTTTACTCAGCTTCCTCTAATGTCAACATCTTACCAAGCAGAGGGGAAGCATCAAAACTAAGAAATCAACCTCAGGACAGTGCTTAACCGAATCGCAGAATTTATTTGGATTTCACCAGTTTTTACATTCATGTCTTTTCTTGGTTCTAGGAGGTAAACCCAGAATCCCCCATTACATGCAGTTGTCACGTCTCCTGTCATTCATGACCTTGGCACTTTTGAGGAGGACTTAGTTAGTTATTTTGCAGAATGGCCCCCAATTTGGGTCTGTCCAACGTGTTCTCATGATTCGAGTTGTATGTTTGGGGAGGGGTGCCACAGAGCTGATGTGTCCTCAGTGTATCATTTCAGGGCAGACACAGTGTTACTGTGACTGGTCACTTTTGACATTAACCTTGACCACTCAGTTAAGGTGGTGTTGGCCAGGCTTTCTTCACTATAAAGTTTTACTATTTTTCTCTTTGTTATTAACTTATTTTCAGGGAGATACTTTAAGACTTTGAACATATCTTGTTTTTTCTTACACTCGTCCCACTAACTATAATCGGTGGGGCATGTCTGTCTGCTGGTTATTACTGTGGAGGTCTAATGGAGGTTTTCTATTTTCCTATTCTCCCATTCCTTCTTCATTTATTAATTTGAAGTCATCTGTAAGGATAAGACTTACATATGTATTCAGTATTTATTTATATTAATATGGATATAAGGATACTTAATTTATAATCATTCGGTTCAGTTCACTTCAGTTCAGTCACTCAGTCGTATCCGACTCTGCAACCCCATGAACCACAGCACACCAGGCCTGCCTGTCCATCGACTCCTGGAGTTTACCCAAACTCATGTCCACTGAGATGGTGATGCCATCCAACCATCTCATCCTCTGTTGTCCCCTTCTCCTCCTGCCCTCAATCTTTCCCAGCATCAGGGTCTTTTCAAATGAGTCAGCCCTTCGCATCAGGTGGCCAAAGTATTGGAGTTTCAACTTCAATATCAG